GGTCCGGTCCTGGTTTAGGGTCGTGCTAGACCGGACCAGCCCGGACCGAATCATTATTATGTTATATAATATATAAATATATATATATGTATATCATATCCTAAACTTAAATCACGTAAAGTTCTCCCGTGCCCCCTTTCTTTCTTTTGTTCTTTAAATTCTTTAAATTTTTTTTAAAAAAAGTCAAATTTCCCTTTTCAAATATATCTCAATTTTCTTTCCTTTATTTCTTCTTAAAATTCTTTTTATTGCATGTATATCAATGTTAGCTGATTTTTTATTTTTATTTTATATTTTTTTTAACTTTGCCCCCTCTAAATGAAAATATAAAAAAAAACAAATCAACTGAAATCGACAAACTGAACCGAACTAAATTAGTTTTTCGCGGTTTGGTTTGGTTTGGTTCCATGGACATTATGGTTCTGTCTGGCTTCAAAAATAGTGGAACCATTATAAATAATTTGGTCCCAAAATACTTTTAATCTAGTCCAAACCGGACCGTGTGCACCCTTAATGCATACATATAGAAGGGTCAATTCCCTTTAAATCCGCCACACTCCATCCAATGGCTTCTTTATTTTCTTTAAGCACTTCCAAAAGATCATTCTTTTGGTCCTTTTCAAGATTTGAAGCAATAATGACCGAAAGAGTCTCCTTTGGGCCTAAAAAGGCATACTTAAGATTGGAAGGGAGAGGTTTAAGCTCAAGAGTGGGTGGAGAGACGAGGGATGAAACCGGTGGAGTGCTAAAAAATAGAGGAAGAGGTTCTTTTTTATTTTTCCAAGGTGGGAAGTCTAGAGTAGCAACGAAATCCATCAAAGCATTCACTTCACTTATGGATCCTTCATTGTCAAAACCATAATTTTCATACATTTCTAGAAGACATGCCTCAAGAGGATCCTTGGAAAGGATAGATGAAAGGTTCTCCTCAAGAAGGTCCTTTGAGAGCATTAAAGAAATAGACTCTTTAACGATTTCATCCAAGACATCCACAAGACAACACTCGTTTTCATATAGGATGTCGACTTGCATTGAAAACATGAAGTTTAACCATCATATTGTCAAAAGAGATGTCCATGATGCCAGGCCTACAATTGATGGTTGCATTTGCGGTGTCAAGGAATGGCCATCTTAAGATGATTAGAATGTGATTGATAGTATTGACAACCAGTTCGGTATCTAGGACCACAAAGTCAACCGGGAAATAGAACTTAACGACCTTAATGAGAATGTCTTCCACCATGCCCCTTGGCTTTTTGACGGATCTATTGGCCAACTGAAGAACTACCGAGGTCGGTTTCAAATCACTTAAACCGAGTTGCATATACACGGAGTAAGGAATCAAGTTAACACTCACCCTTAAGTCAAGAAGAGCTCTAAGAACCTCATTGTTTCTAATTACATAAGAAATGGTTAGAGTACCAGAATCTTTGAACTTAGGGGGTGTGTTATAGAGAAGAATGGAGCTCACTTGCTCTGTGAGAAGCACTTTCTTAGGGCTTTGTCCCTTATTCTTTCTCTTTTGTGTGCACAAGTCCTTTAAGAACTTTGCATATGGTGGAATTTGCCTAATAGCATCTAAAAGAGGAAGGTTTATTTTAACTTGTTTGAAAACTTCCATCATGTCATGAATTTTTCCCTCTTATCTCCCAAAAGGTGAAGTCTCTCTCAAAGCATAAGGAAATGGAGCTTTTGGTTCAAAAGACTTTTCTATTTGAGGAGATGAAGATGATGATGGCAAGTCTTTTTTAGAACCACTTGAACTCAAGGAAGTAGAAATAGGATCAAAAACAGGACGAGTGTTACCACTTGGTTGCACCGCTTCACTAACTTCACTTGGTCTTTCTACCTTATTGTCTACTCACTTACCACTTCTCAATGTTATTATAGCTTGCACTTATTTATGTGGTGGACATCTCGATGTAGGATTTGCTTCCACCATACAATGTACCTTAGGATTTCTCTCGGGTTGGCTAGGCAACTTACTTTCTTTCTTGTATTCATGGAATTAGCTATCATCCCGATATAGGATTCAAGCTTTGAGATAGATTGAGAATGAGAGTGAAGCAATTTATTGTTCACTTCTAAGCTACCTGAAGCTGCCAAGACCTTATCCTCAAAAGTAGAATTTCTAGGTAGAGCTTGAGAATGATGGAAGTGAACTTGAGAATTTGGAATTTGAGGATGAGAGTATGGATTCACATTTGGACTTGGATAAAACGAAGATTGGTACCCTTGAGAATCTTGAAAGTGAGGAAACCTATACTTTCCTTGGAAAATTGAATTTTGTGGAGGGTTTACATCGGCTCCTTGATTTTTCCAAGAAGAGTATAAAGTCTCTCTCCATCCCAGAATGTAAGCATTAGAATATGGATGAGAAAAAACGGCATTAACTTGTTCATGTTACTCATTTAAAAGGGCTTGTCCTTGAGGACAAATGGAAGTATTGTGATTGCAACTAGAACAATTCATACACACTTCATTTGGTGAGTGGGAAGGATAGGATGATTGAATTACCGGTCTTTGGCTCAACAAGAATTGGTTAAGCCTTTAGGTAAGAGTTTTAACCTTAGCTATACTTCCATTGGACTTTCCACTTGACATACATTTGAATTTTTATTCCTTACCACATTAGAATTCCCACTTACTCGAGAGGATTGAAATTTGTGCATTGAATTCTTACTCATATTTTCAAAGAGGCGCAAACGTCGTGCTTATGTTTTCCAAAATATGAACCTCCACATGAAGCATCCACTTTACCCTTTGTAACCTGCAGAGAAGAGAAAACGTGATCTATAAGGTACTGGTGTGGTATCGGCCCAAGAGTCTCTGACGGTCAAGTTAGTGTAAGACCAGGAAGATTAATGGACTCTGCTAGGGTTTTGTATCGTTCCTTTTGAATTGACTAACTACCCTTTTTATAAGGTAGGTTGTAGTATTTAACAAGAGAATTAATTTCCCTTTACTTGTTCAATATGGATCGGAGAACTACCCTTTATCCACATTGCTTTATTAATTATAGCTTATCTGACTTCATTACTTCTGTGTCTGTTAGACTCCTTATTAGATTGTAGAGTCCATACCAATAACCATCATCAAGTAAATCATATAAAATATACATATATATTACCTGTATATACCCACAACTTCACAAGCAAAACTGAGAGAAAATAAAATTGATTGCATATAAGAAATAGGGAAAACAAAAAAACAAAACCAAGAATGCATCAAAATATAGATTGCAATAGTGAGATATATATTTATTGTTCTCATTCATCGTATGATAAATAGATCTAACCAATTTGATTAATGAGCTAAATAATCATTTCCACTAGCTCAGATGCTTGAGGATACAACGAGTCAATGAATTAACCTAATGATCCATCCTAGTTCCTGAAAGCGCTGCCCTCCTAATGCTCAGACATCACATCCTTGGGTTAAGTAGTGACTTGCTTAGGTTTCTGTAATTTAATGAGTTATTGGAGCTTAAACAGCAAAGAAGAGAATGAGCCAAAACAAGAATCTTCTTCAGGGTTTCCCTCCGATTGAATGCTCCATCAGATCATATGAAGGTGATATGTAATGTTTTTAATTTTTATTTTATTTTATTTTTTTTTTGGTTTTTCAGAACGCAGAAGTAAGTTCTGTGGTATACAAGCTAGGGTTTGAAAAGAAAATTAAAGGGACTTTTATAGGGACACGCATGGAATTACATTTTTTTGTTAAGTAATAAAAATGGTAAGCTTGTCATTTAATAAGTTTCATTAAAATACCAAACCTCTTTCCGTGTTGTATCAAAAGAGCATTTTAGAAAAACTGGGGTATCAACTTCTCCAAAACGCTCTTCCAAAACCCAAAAGCGCTTTTAAAAAATTAGCCAAACACTACTCAAAACAGTTTTCAAGCCCAAAAAAGCTAAAAGTAGTGTTTGAAAAGCCAATCCAAATAGGCCATAGTACATATTTGGATTGGCTTTCCAAATGCTTGACTTGAAAACTATTTTGGACTGGCTAATTTTTTTCTAAGAGCTTTGAGGTTTCAAAAAGCATTTTGGAGAAACTAACACTAGAGTAGATGTATAGTTTGATACAAGGGGTTAGTTGCAAAAAAATTACTACAACAAAATTAAGTGTACAAAATAAATAGTACAAAGGTTCTATGCAATTAACCTTTTATTTATGCTGTCAAACAATTTCATTTCACGTACTCATTATTAATCCGAGTCAATAGTCGAGCTTTTGTCCTGGAATTAAAATCCACCGAACTCGATTTAATATATTTTGGGATAAATTACACCTACTCCCTTTGAGTTTGGGTTTGATATATTCGCACCTTTATTTTGGCATATTATAATTTTCCTCTCTAATTTGCATATTTATAACAAATACCTCTTATGATTATCGACACTAACGTTAATGAGACGTGAACAATTTTTAAAAAGGCTTAAATCATAAAACCCACACTACTTTCATTTTTTATAATAAAACCCCAACTTGTTTGTAAAAACCCTAACAGGATTACAAAGTTATCACTTTGCCCCAATTCTGTCAATGAACCGTTAAGGGTTTGTGAAATGACTAAATTACCCTTATGATTATAAAACTCCAACTTGTTTGACACATGTTCCTTTAGGGGTATTTTTGTCACTAAATTTTGATTGCCAAAGTACTTGTTAATCACGCGCTAGGTTAACGACCCAATATAACAGCATTGGGGCAAAGTGACAACTTTGTAATCTTGTTAGGGTTTTTACAAACAAGTTGGGATTTTATGATAAAAAAATGGAAGTAGCGAGGATTTTATGATTTAAGCCCTTTTAAAAATTTTAATAACAAAAATACCATTCAAATGTTTGTAAAGACACTTTAGTTATGTTTATACTAAGAATAATTATAATAAGGATATAAGGGTAATTTCACACCATGTTTGTAGACAATTCAATATCGTAAAGGTAAGTGTATGTTATGCCCACAATCAATTAGGGAAGGTAAGTGTAATTTATCATATCTTTTAAGACTCGTGAAGAGGGAGGGGGTGAAGAAGCTTGGTGTACGGTGGTTTTGCTTTTATATATACACACACGACTCTGCATGTTCTTTTATTTTTAGGAAATTGGTATTCCGGGGAAAACAATTTGATTGAGATGGCTGACGACGATTTTCCTGCTCCTCCGACTAGGTTGATGAATTTTGTCTCTGAAGGACAGGTATTTTCCTCTTCTAAACCCCCAAAAGGAACTACAATTCGGTTCCTTCTGTATATGCAAATTTTCGAGTTGGGTTTTTGACTTGTTGTTGTTGTGGCAGTTGGATGAAGCTAAGAGAAGTCGGGGTGCGCGAATTGAAGATGGCACTGCCCAGAGAGATAGGTCGCTCTTCGAGGTTAGTTTCCCCTTCCTGTTTTCGCTATTTGTTTTTTATTTTTATTTTATTTTTAATTTCTCCCCTTCCTAATTTCATTGAGTGCTTTTTTTTTTATAGCTCAACTTCAGTGCTGTCGATTAGTGTTCAACCCCTTGCCTAAAAAACTCTTAGGGAGAACAAAGTTCAAGATATGGTCCATTTTTTCTTAACGAACATCTGTCAACACAAATGACAAATCTTCGATGAAATGATTGAATGTACTTCTTCTTCTTTTTGTTTTTGGAACTTTCAAATTACAATTTTGATGTTCAAATTTTAGTTAGAGTCTAGACTGACCCTAGTTTTCCTATTGGACTGGTGTTCTTTGAAAAGAGAAGCCAAAACTATTCACTTACCAGCCAAATTAAACAATATTCATAGTTGCATGAGATAAAATAAAACCTAGAAAAAGGTAAGTGAAAAGATTGGTCAATGAACCCAAAAGATTAGGTTTCATAGAGACCCATATGATCATTGTGAATGAATGCCATTCAATTCTTCTTGCATGTAGCTTCATATATGTATTGTTTTCTTGACCAGGCACCCCATTTTCTGAAATGGGGACTATTGCTTCTTGGCTTGTGTTGGTCCTTGCCTAGGGCTAGCCTATTGCGTGAGGCTCTCGCTAATGCAAGGTTTGGGTAGGGTTAGATGTACGTGTTCATAATCATATGAGAGAGAGAGAGATTGTATCTTGTATATTCAACATAACAGACCTAATAAGCCTATACAGGCTTATATAATGATTACAAGTCTTACTTAATAACACAAGGGCCCTATCAACTTTCTGTAATTACATAATGACCCAACACTTATATATATATAACATTCTAACACTCCCCCTCAAGCTGGAGAATATATATCAAATAATCCCAGCTTGGAACAGATAGTTCTTAACAGGTTATGACCCAATACTTTGGTAAACATATCAGCTAATTGATCTTCAGACTTCACAAATGGAGTAGAGATGCTCCCACTTAATAGTTTTTCTCGAATGAAGTGACAATCAACTTCAATATGTTTGGTCCTCTCATGAAACACAGGATTTGATGCAATGTGAACTGCTGCTTGATTATCACAGAACAATGGAGTACTTATCAAAAAAAAAAAAATCACAGAACAATGGAGTAAGAGCTGTAACTGTCAACCCAAGTTCTTTTAGAAAATGTTGTATCCATGTCAACTCACTAGTGGTATGAGCCATTGCCCTATACTCAGCTTCAGCACTAGATCGAGCTACCACCGTTTGCTTTTTACTTCGCCATGTAACGAGATTTCCTCCTACAAATGTGCAGTATCATGTAGTAGATCTCTTATCTGAAGGAGAACCAGCCCAGTCAGCATCTGTAAAACCTTTCACCCTGAGATGACCATTTGATTTATATAGTAACCCTAACCCTGGAGCTTGCTTGAGATATCGGATAATCCGAAGAACAGCAATCCAATGTGGCATCTAGGGACTCCCATGAACTGACTTACAACACTAACTGCATATGAAATGTCAGGTCGAGTGATAGTGAGATAAATTAATTTCCCAACAAGGCGATGAAATATGCCCGGGTCATTAAATAGATCACCCTCATCAGACACAAGTTTTGTATTTGAATAGGAGCATCAACCGGACGACCACCCAACATACCTGTTTCTTCCAATAAGTCCAACATATATTTCCGTTGGGATAAACTTATACCCTTCTTGGATTTAGCAACTTCAATACCCAAGAAATACTTAAGTTTACCCAAGTCTTTAGTGTGGAATCGATATTTCAGAAACAACTTCAACTTAACAATGCCTTCAGAATCATCACCTGTGATCATAATATCATCTACATACACCACAAGAAATATGAAGCCAGCTTTAGTGCGCTGGTGAAACATCGAATGGTCGGTCTGACATCTGTTAAGACCAAATTTTAATGCCACCTCAGAGAATTTCCCAAACCAAGCCCGTGGAGATTGTTTCAATCCATACAGGGCCTTTTTAAGGCGACAAACGGTGTGAAGATACTCCCCCTGAGCAACAAACCCAGGTGGTTGCTCCATATAAACCTCTTCTGCTAAGTCACCATGTAAAAAAGCATTTTTAACGTCTAACTGAAACAGAGGCCAATGTCAATTAGCAGCAAGAAAAATTAAAACACGAATAGAAGAAATCTTAGCAACAGTGGCAAATGTCTCATCATAGTCAATACCATAAGTCTAGGTATAACCTTTGGCAACAAGGCGTGCTTTTAGACGCTCAACAGACCCATCTGGAAGATACTTCACAGTATATACCCAGCGACAACCAACAGGTTTAGCACCTGGAGGTAATGGAACAAGATTTCATGTGCCATTCTTATGCAAAGCATCCATTTCATCTTGCACTGCTTTCCTCCAGCCCAAATAAGATAAAGCATCCTGCGCAGTCTTAGGAACAAATGTAGTGGACAACTTAGAGGAAAAACATGAGAAAGATGGCGATAAGGTTATAAGAGACATACTGAGCAATGGGATGTTTAGTAACACACGAGCGAGGAGCTTTATGAAGTGCAATAGGCAAGGAGTCAGACACAGTGGAAGGTGTAGGATCCAAAGACTTTGAAGACGATGGAGGAGGCACGACAGCAGATGGCTTTGGTCTTCGAGTGTACACCTGTAACGGGGCAGGCGAAGGAACCAAAGATTGAGGTTGAAGAGAAAGTGAGGGAAGAGGAACTGCAGAAAGAGATGACTCAAGAGTGATATCAAGAAGTGAATCAGTATCTGAAAAATATGGGATGGATTCACAAAATGTGACATCCGCGCTAATAAAGTACCGTTGAGAAACAGGACTATAGCAACGATAACCTTTATGAGAACGAGAGTAGCCAAGAAATACACACTTTGTGGCACGTGGGTCGAGTTTGTCAAAACCAGGACCAAGATTGTGGACATAACATACACATCCAAAAACCCTAGGAGGAAGAGAAAACAAGAGAGAATCAGGAAATAAAATAGAATGTGGAGATTTGCCATCTAATACAGATGACGGCATACGGTTAATAAGATGACAGGCAGTAAGAACAGCATCACCCCAAAACCGTTTAGGCATACGCATATGAAACAAAAGAGCACGAGTTACTTCTAAGAGATGTCGATTCTTACGTTCTGCAACTCCATTTTGTTGAGGAGTATAAACACATGAATTTTGATGAATAATTCCTTTATCACTAAGATATGTATCAAATGGAGTTGAAGAATAGTCCTTAGCATTATCAGAACGTAGAATACGAATTGGACATCCAAACTGAGTTTTGATTTCTTTGCGAAATTTTTGAAAAATTAAAAACAACTCAGAATGATCTTTCATTAGAAACAACCAAGTCAGGCGAGAATAATCATCCACAAATGTCACAAAATAATGAAATTTATTGATTGAAGAATGTTTTATTGGACCCCATACATCTGAATGAACCAAATGAAAAGGACTAGAGACACGATTATTAACCCTAGACTTGAAAGACACGCGATGGTGCTTACTAAGTTGACAAACTTCACATGACAAGAATTTCAAATGACTAAGACTAGGAACTTGACGCTTCAAAACTTGAAGTGACGGGTGACCAAGTCGACAGTGCCACTGGAATGGAGACAGAGAAGACTGAAGAGCCACAGGATAAGGTTCGAAATCAAAATAATATAAGCCACCAGCTTCATGTCCTGTACCAATCTTCTGCTTCATCTTGAGATCCTGAAACACACAAGAAGTAGGATCAAATGTAACAGAGCACTGGAGAGATTTAGTAAGCTTACTGATAGACATTAAATTAAAGGGAAACTGCGGAACATGTAAAACGGACGAGAGAGACAATGAATCACTAAGTTGAGTTGTCCCCAAATCTGAAACCTGAGTGGATGAACCATTAGCAAGAGTAACTCCTTGAGAAGGAGGTACAGAATGAAAATCAGATAGAAGAGAAGAACATCCGGTCATATGATTAGATGCTCCAGTGTCTATGATCCAAGGACTGCGAGTGGAAGACAATAGACATGTGTGTGCAGTACCTGACTGGGCAAAGGTAGCTGTGGAAGATGAATTAGATTCTTACTTATAAGACAAAAACTGAGTATACTCATCCCGTGGAACAGAGACTGTATCTGATTCAGCCACGTTGTGAGATCCAGAAGCAACATCATTCGGAGAAGAGGAAACTTGATTTGCATAACTAGATGGTTTCCCATGAAGGTCCCAACAAAAGTTCACAGTATGATTAGAAAGACCACAATGAGTACATTTTCCTAATTCCCTGCCACGACCACGTCCTCCTCGTGAATCACGACCACCACGTGTGGAGCGTCCCCCACGACCTCCACGGTAAGCATTATGTTCACCCTTTGAAACTACCAATGCTGAACGCTCACTACTCTGTCCAGCATTCAAATTTGATGTATCACTTGCTAGTGTAGCACGCTGAAGGCGAGAAAACACCTCAGCAAGAGAGGGAAGTGTTGGACTGCCTATAATCTGTGCACGAAAAGGCTCATATGCTGATGATAAACCAGTAAGAAAACGGACAACATTAAAGTCCGCACGCTGTTGTTGCATACTTCGAACATCAGCAGTAATGGGCTGATACATATTCAGCTCTTCACAGACTCCCATAACTTTGGAATAATACTCTTCTATACTTTGAGTACCTTGTTCAAGATTGAAGTACTGCTTACAGAGTTCATAGACACGAGTGATATTACCTGTCCTAGAATACAATTGCTGCAATCTATCCCATATCTCCTTGGCAGTATCCAAATAAAGTAACATTGAACTGATTTGGGGTTCAATGCTGTTTATCATTATAGAGAAGATCTGCGCATCTTCCTTTTCCCATGCATCAAAAGAAACATCAGTTGCCTTGAGTTTCTCTTTAGTCAGATGAGTACCAAGACCTCTGCTTTTGAGAAAAATGGCAACAGATTTAGCCCATAGTATGTAATTCTTCCCATTGAGTTTAACTGAAGTCA